CTCTGCACGTGCACCCCTCCATCCCTGCTTCTTTGCCCCTCCTGTCCCGTCTGCCCAGGGTCCCCCGGGCTGTCCCCAGACGCTGCTCAGGGCGATGCAGAGAGAACCGCCGGAGGCTACCCACCCACCTGCGCCACTCTGGGTTGCCGGGTGGCCCCGAGGCAGGATGCCAGGGTGGTGGGGGCAGGAAAGGGGGACCCCCGTTCCCCCCTCCTTATTTTCCCTTTTTAAAAAATTATTTATAAATAATAAATAAGCCCTGCAATCTCAAACCGAGCCCCTTTGTGCAAGATTTTAGCAAGGAAGGTGCAGGAGAGCATCGTCTGCCTCCAGACGAACGGGACTCCAATCCCTTGCCTTGTTTCAGCCGGAGAAACAGAGTTGGAAATGCCAAATTTTTTTAAACCGACCATGTTGGTTCTGCTCTCACCCCCCCACAGACACACACAGATATACCCGCCACCCTCCAGACAGCTTTTTGCTTCTCTCCTTCAACTCACGGTGGCTCAAATAGCTTAATAAACGTTAGCTGGTGGCTTGAGTCCATCTAATAAATCTTTAAAATAAATCTGGCAAATAAATAAACAAATAAGTAAATATCTAAACAGATCAGTTGATTAATGGGATTAGTCTGTTGCTTCACAGCTCAAGCGTCTGGGGCAGATTTGGACTAACTAAATGGAGGGGATGCATATAACTAAATTAATAGTACAGTGCTTCACTTTCTTTCTTTTTTTTAAGCAGTCCATGTCAAAGCCAGAGCTTGGAAAATTGAGGGACTACAACTCCCAGAATCCCCCTTCCACGTTCTAGGCGCAAAACTCGATGCCCACCTAGGAAGCGAGAGAAAGTCACTCCTTCCAATACGGGTGTCTCTTGCCAGCTGCAGTTTCAATCTGGATTTGTGTTTTAGCATTAAGCCAGAATCCCCTTGCCACTTTACGCTTGCATAAGAGAAATCCCATAAGCTGCAGGAGCAAACGAATGGCCAGCAAGAACAGGCCGGTTGCAAACCTCACTGTACAGTTTGATTGTGTAGTGCGGCACGCACGCTCAGGAACACAACCAGCTCCTCATGGATGAGCAGCCGTCCACTGCCATGACTTAACGCCATTTCCCCCTACCGAAGTATACTGTAAATTGACCAGAGGATTCTGGCTAGTCCTTACTTCTGAAAAAAAGAGGAGATCTTTGATTAAAAAGGGATCTGCCCTCTTTAATCAGTTTAAAAGATTTTTTTCACTTTATTAATCAAGCTGATTAACCCATTAAGTCATGGATGAGCAGCCGTCCACTGCCATGACTTAACGCCATTTCCCCCTACCGAAGTATACTGTAAATTGACCAGAGGATTCTGGCTAGTCCTTACTTCTGAAAAAAAGAGGAGATCTTTGATTAAAAAGGGATCTGCCCTCTTTAATCAGTTTAAAAGATTTTTTTCACTTTATTAATCAAGCTGATTAACCCATTAAGGCCAAAATATTGCTGCTGATAATAATAATAATAATAATAATAATAATAATAATAATAATAATAATAATAATAA